GAAAATTTATCAGGACAAATTTTAACCAAATGATTAGAGGAAAAGATAATTATAATAGGTGGCCAGAGAAGTGTGGAATGAACAGCCTAACAGCTAGAGAAAGCCTAATGATTATACTGAACTTAGGAGACACCTACCATAGGTGAGTGGAAGAAAGGGAGACCCCAAGGCAGAGAGGGAAACTCAGAGCCTCTGGAAAACCCAGAGAAAATGATGCTGCAGGCTTAGAGCAGCTAGGATAAAGGCTTAATAAGCTTATAATAAACAAATAGAAAATCAGGCACTGTAGGCTTTCACGAGCCAGTAAAGGATAATGTATTTTATTGCAGATGCATATTAAACTAGAAAGAGATATAATCTGGATTACTTTAAAAAAAAAATAAAACATAACTTTAGCTACAGTGAGCAACGGAATGGAAGGTGGCAAGATGGAGGATCTGAGAAGACCAGTCAGAGGCTCCTAGAGCATTCTTGGGGAGGATGCTGGCAGCAGAAGCAGACTCCCTAGATGTCAGGGCCCTCAAAGAAAATCCAGCAAGTGAGTGGTGACCCGTGTCTGGCCAAATCCCTACCAGCTTGCTGTGCCTACCACATGTAAGTGGTAGGCCAGAGATGTGACTCATGGTGCAGGGCTTAACTGGCATGCGCAAGGCCCTGAATTCAATCCTCAGAACTGCACATGCATGCACAAACACACACACTCCTCCTTCTCCTTCTCCCCATTTAAGTGGTTTGCATAACTTAATTACATTTGCTCTCCACTCCCTTATTTCCCAATCTGGTCCTGATACTGAGGGTGTGGGGCTGTACGGAGGACTGAACCTAGGGCTTTGTAGATGCTAGGAAAGTACGCCACCCCTGAGCCTATACCTAACCCCTTCTTAAATTTTGAGACAAGGTCTCACTATGTTGTCCAGACTGGCCTGGAACTTGCAAAACTCCTGCCGCAGTCTCCCCAGCAGATTATAGGGATATGCCACTAAACCTGGCTACTGATATTTTTAACTATATTTTTCTCTCCAAAATGCTAATAACCCACCAAGCTCAAATCTTAACCTTTCAAGGTTCAATTAAAATTCCACTGCCACAATCCTCTTTCCCAATTTCTGTAGATACACTGAATCATTCCTTATCCCTCTGACACAGTTTAGCACATGCTCACATGCTTCCCTTTGTTTCTTCCAGTTTAAGCATGTTTCCCCAAATTAACCACAGGCCTCTCACAGGAAGGGGAAGCCTTTGTTTTTTCAAGTGTCTCCTTTCCCTGGAGCCAGGTCCAGAGCACAACTACAGAGGAGCCCATCAGACACCAAGAAGATCACTGAAGGAAAAGGCAGAGTGTGCCTGTGCCTGGCATTTCTCCAGAGCACACAGATGACCCAACTAGGGCAGGGGAAGATTGATGTCACTGTTGTCATCTGCAGTGCTTTTGTTTGGCTTGTGCAAAATATCATGACAAGGAGCCAAAGGACTGTTTTAGTGAGCTCTGTAGTTTCAGCCATTATGTCTAAGCCACTTGCTGCTGGGAATTATAACCTGGCATACTACACTGGCAGGTAATAACTAGAAAAAGATCCAACCTGGGCAACTTTGTGCAAATCAAGACTCAGAAGCAGGGCCAGCAATGTATGATTACCAGTGGGCAAAGCACCATTTTCCCCTTGAGGGATGCCTGGCGAGTAGATGTGATATAAATTTAGGATGTATTATGTAATGTGATACACATATTTACTGTGAAATGACTACTGCATCTCACATAGCTACCTGGTTTTTGTTGTTGGAATGAGAACATTTCAGATCTTTTTACTCTCATCGTATTTCGGCATATAATATATTATTAACTATTATGCTGCATACTGGATCTCCAGCACTTCCTCATCTTATACCTGAAAGTCTTCACTTTAACCAACATCCCCCCTTACCTCTACCCTCCAGCTAGTGGTAACCACTATTCAATTGTTTCTATGACTTAAGATTTCACATGTAGGTGATACACTGCAGAGGTTGTCTTTCTGTTCTTGGCTTACTCAGAATAATGTCCTCCAGGTTCAACTCTGTTGGGGGCAGAGGTGCTGGGGATCTTATCCATGCCTTGTACATGCTAGGAACCACGCCACTAAGCTAGACCTCAGTGTCTTTACTTCTAAAACTAAATAAAATCTTCTCTTCATATGTATGCACAGCACCTATTTTAGACTGTTTACACTGATTCTTAGTTGCTGTACATTTAAAGCTGTGAATTCTGAGTAACTGGACTATTTCATTAAAATACATTCATTTTCATGTCATTTGTCAAGTGCTACAGAATTCAAAATAGAATGTCCTTTTTCTAGACAAAAGAGAAGAGCTGAGGTAATGGAATTAATGATAATAACACAGAAGTAAAATCTATAATCAGGAAGATCAAGTTCTATTATACTTCCACTAGGAAAATCAGTAATTAATTTTGCTAAACCAAAACTTTACATGTATTACATAGAACTGTTAGCTAAACCTAGATCCCTGTTAAACTGAAAATGTACAGAGTTAAGTACATTTTTGTTCACTATAGATTTAGTGCACTAGCAAATCTAATACACACTCAAAGGTATTTGTTGTTGGGTGCAGTGGTACTGCTTGGGACATGCTTATGTCCCAGTTACTTGGGAAACTGAGGCAGGAGGATTTTGAGCTCACAGCTAGCCTGGGCAACCTAGTGAGACCCTGTCTCAAAAAAATAATAAGTAAAACTATGTTTGACCTTTAGTGACAGCAAAAAAAAACTAAGACCTTAGTAGAACTAGGGCCACAATGCTTCACCTCCCTATGTACTAAGCGTAAGGCCAGCTCACAGCGCTGATGCTCTGTGCGAAATTAGCATGGTCTCCCATGGACAGTTATTTCTCTGCAAGCAAAGCATTTAAGCAATTTTAATGATACAGCCTCCTCTCACATTCCCAGCACACCAAATAAGCGGCTGGATCTTGGCAAAAAAATTTAAAAATTAAACAACAACAAAAAACTGCTCCCCCAAAATTGATGGCACTGCCTAACATTTTCCTCTATTTATACCAATTTGCTACCTACCCCAAGGAACAGATCCATCAAGAGGAGTGTCAATTGGTCAGAGGCCTCTGGATGGCTGGGGACACTTTTAATAATCCAGAACCCTCTCCTGGGTGTTAGAAAGGAGACACTGCAGACCCTGGAAGCCACCCCCACCCCCAGGCTACAGACAGGCTTATGGGCCTGGGGTGGGGGTGCAGCGCCACAGACTGATTCCCTGTGGTCCACGGCGCTGCCTCAGGGAGCTTCCACTGAGCACTGGGAAACACTTCTTGGGTGAAAAGAGGATGGGGGGAGGTAGGGGAGGGGCTTCTGACTCATGGTGCCACACCACGTGTCCTAGCTGACCTAGCTGATCAGACTGGATTCTAGTTTTTCCTTATTGGCCACTGAGTACTTCTTCCAAAGCTACAGATGACTGATAAGAACAAAGGTGTGCTCTTTGGCAAAGGGAGTAAAAGGGCATTTAAATAGTCAAGACGCCCGTGCTGGAGCTCAAGGTGCGCTCCTCCCCAAGACGTCTGCGTGGCCTGCTTGTCCTGTCAGAGCCGTCCACAGGGAAAAGGCATCTCAGCAAGAGCAGGGGCATAAGCAAGCCACTTTGTCGGGAAGCACATCTTGGTGTACAACCTCTAGGAAAAAAGTCCCTGAGCCCATGCATAGAATTCCAAAGTAAAGTCCCTCACAATGGCTACAATGTGGGCCTAACTAAGCTCAGGAAATTAGTTTAGTGGATGTTTAGCACATTGATAGTCCCTTGAAAGAACGTGCCCACCAGGCTGGAAGTGCAGCTAGGTGGCAGTGGCTGCTTAGCATATGCAAGATTCTGCCTTTAATGCCCAGCACCACCACTTTTTTTTTAAGTGCCTATCAACAGACAGGATGAAATACTACAATTCTCAATCACAGAATCCTAAAAATGTCATTGTCAAATAAGCAGGCTTCACTTCAGAACACCCACAGAGAGATCAGACAGAACCACAGCACAAATGAAAGACGTGGCTACAGATGATCTGCAAATACTACCGATAACAGCAACGTACCAATAACTGGTTAAACCTTTTCTATTAAAACAGAAATACACTTCTAACAACCAGTTTCCAGTAACATCAAATTCACTCTATTGTCCTAACAAAACAGTGAAGGTATAAAAGTGATACCATGTATCAATATTATTTTCTTAGCTCACATTTTCAAAAACATTTTCGCCTATCCCTGTGGATACACCTGCCTGACAGCGGCTTTATGTAAGATCACACGTGCTGGTAAAAAAAAAAAGCACATGGAATCTGAGCCAGTGAAAGGGCTTCAGAACGTCCCCAAAATAGGCAGGAATGGATGGACGTCTGCTTTGGAATTCAGTGAGCTAGAACTTCCCAAGGCAGATATAAAATATTTGGTCATCTCTAAAATCATCTGGTCATTTAGTATTTGTAAATTGAGACTTCTTCCTCTAGTGTAAAAACAAAAATAAGTTTTACAACAGCCCCCATATAATTAGAAGAAACAGTCTGTACACCTCACGCCCTATTTCATTGTCCGCTAATACTCAGAAAGGTGACCAATCTCTGGAGTCCACTTTAAATGTTTAAGAAGAGCCCTGACACTGTGATACTGGTTGGACTCTTGCCGCAGAGGTGGGAACTAACGTGGGAGTTGAGGTCACTGCGTGCTTACATCACAGGTGAACAGAAAACTCCGTGGTCAGAAAAACAGGCAGAACAATCTGTGCAGCTCTTCTAGCTAATAAACCCCAAGGAAGAGGTACTTCAGCTAAATCAAAAATACACTGGCCAATGAGGAACGATGATCCTGTTCAAGTTAAACAGAACTGTTACATCATCAAAAGCTTCAACTCACGTCGACATCACAGCTGCAGAGACTGACGGCGCTTTGCACTCATAGGGCAATACTGCCTAGGCAGCTCAGCAGCCTCCAAGGACTCCAGGCCTTACCTGCAAGCAGGTGGACAGAGCTGAAACTCTTCTCCAGTTTGCCCAGCAGTACAGTGAGAAAGCAGTCCGACGACAGTGAGGCAACATCTTGGGAGCTCTGATCATAAACTACCACCTTCTGATTGCAATCAATATCAACCTGAAATGCAAATGGGCGGCTTATTGTAGGCAGGCAGGCAAGAAAAACAATCTTAAAAACAAGCAGTTGAGGGTGTGTGGGGCTAGAGCTCAGTGGCATAAGCGCATGCCTGGCGAGCACAAGATCCTGAGTGCAAGCCCCGATACTGCCAAAAAACAAACAGAAAACAGTTGAGCAGGCTCATATTTATTGGTGCTGACGCAAATAACTACTTCTTATTTTCAATGAATTATCTGAATAAATGTGAGATATGATTAATTTGCTGGATAAAGTTAGCATACACACTTGTATAAATCAAATTTTGAAAGGCTAAATTGATGCTATTTCTATGTAGATATGCTCAAATTGACAGATTTTAAATACTTGACCCTTATTAGAGGGGAAAGTTCATAAGCCAAAAACACACTATGTAAATTAAAACTTTTTCTAAAGAAACATTTTTAAAAATGGCTCCTAGTAATAACAGATCAGCTGTTTATTTAAGTTAAATGATAGCTGTTTTCATTCATGAAGAAAAGACACGGACTTCCCTAACAAAGGTTTTGGTATCCTAGGAATAATTTCCTTGAAGGTAATATCCTTATGTCTTGACAATATTACCACACCTAAAGGTGACCAGATATGAAAAACACAACGAATAATTAGTTCCTACTTACTTTCCAAAGTGGATTTGTACAAAATACAGAACAATGTTTAAATTGAGACAACAATTTTAGGGAGCCATTAATAGGGAAATAGCTTGTGCCCAAAACAGAACATGTTAACCTTTTGGTATAATTTAAAATATTCTTAAATGCGACAGTACAATTAGTGAATTTTTTTGACGTACTACAAGGTACCAAAATCTAGAAAGCAACCAAAACTTTTCAAATTATTTTCTCTGCTTAAAAATAAGGTTTTAATTAAAATTGTTCCCCAGTTTATCCATTTATCTTAAAAAGGCAAAGAAAAGAAAAGCATTTACCTTATGTTTTGCTGAATGCTGGATAAGTTCTGTAATTAACACTTTGTCCTGTTGCAACCTCCGCTTCATAAGCTTGGAGCAGTTAATATTAATGGCTTCTAAAATGTGGGATGTATTGTATTCCACAAATGGCCGGCTGTCAATTAGCAGCACTTTTTCTGTTCCACTTTCCAGCAGAGCCACCAACCTCTCAGTAACAATTTGAGTTCCAATCATCTCATGGGCCATGACAACAATCAGTCCTCTTTTTCCACCTCTTCCTTTAATTTGCCACGATGATGTAATGGTGGTGTGCTCAAAGGCTCAGCCACTCCATTGTACTAAAAATGTATGAGGTCAGGCTGGTGGTGACTGGCAAAAGGAGAGTTAAACCCATTTTCAGCAAGAGCCCTCCAACTGAATGTCTCTTTCTCTTCCCGTTGATGTGCTCTTGCAAGGAACTCCTTCCACAAAGCAGCCCCTCACATCTGATTCATAGAGAGATGGCTGGAATAACCATTCCACAACAAAAGATGCTTTGGGGCAGCCAGCGCATTACATCATTCTCTACCTTTGCTCCCTCGCTCCCACAGCTTGCGCTGGACTGACAGCCTACACCAAGAGAGAAAGACAGACAGAAAACAAAACACGAGGTCAGAAAAAAAGAAAGAGCATCAGATTAGAGAGTGTATGGTTCATAATATTTACTCCATTAATCTAATTCCACACTTGACGCACTGTTTCATTTGGACAAACAAAAGGGACAAGTAGGTATGGCTTCAGAGAAAAATACACTGGTGATGATTCAGTTATACCTCAACAGGCAAAAACTATAAGAAAATAAAACACATTCATGAATTATAATTACCTGGGGCCAGGACTACATGACTTGTATGAAATTAGAAAGGCTATACAAAGCAGCCTGAAGTATTATTATCCCAAATGGTTTTTCCATTTTTATTTACTTCTTGAAAACAGTACACAGAACAACAGCCAAGGGTGATTTTAACAATCTCATCTTATCAGGACAAAAACAAAAAACAAACAAAAAAAAAACCCAAAGCCCCACAGTTGCTTGAGAATTACTGTGCTACTACGTGACTGAGTGCACGCACGCAGACACAGACACCAGCGTGCAAACAACAGCCCCTAGAGCATAGGCGGGAAAACAGGTTGCAAAAATTTCAGCTGCCTTTTGAAAAGGATGGACAAAAATGGCTGACTTGCTTGTCACAGCAACTGCCGGGGCTTGTGATGTCCCGAGTTCCTCAGGAGGTAGTGATGCTGCTATGATTTTGGCCTGTTTCCTTCCTGTGACCATTCTGTGAGCTCTAAGTCCCTCAATCTGTCGCAGGCTTATCCTTCACTTTTTTGCACCCTATTCTCAAAAGAATCACTGACTTCTAGCCTTAGAAAATTTTACCCATTACCTGAGACTCTAAGTCAGCCACTCCTGTGTATATATAAAGCCTGTCAAGCTGGATCCAAAGTCTCCCTGTTCCTACCAAACTTCTATAATCAAGTATTTCCTCATTAACACTAATTGGAGTTTGGTGCCCACAATTTGAGCATGACCCTAACCTTCAATGTTCTGAGAGTTCTATCTCCCTTGACACAGCCTTCTTATACAAAATCCTGCCCTGTACCACATAGAACTAGATGTCTACAGTCAGCATTCAACTTTCAAATGATAAACTATCAAATGGCAAAGACTTTGTATTTATTATGCCCACTGACCTTTGCAAATAAGATGCTCCAATTATGACAAGAAAACTCTTGCTCACAAAACAATTTAAGACTTCCAATAGATATTTCATTAACTTTTTTCAGATCAGGATAGTAAAATCTTCAAACATATTCGTGTCATTCTTCCTGTTTTTATACTTACAAATTCAAAACTGAAACACAAAGAGGGCTCAGGATACGAAAGAGGTTGCTTTGCCATTTGCAGAGCACATAACTTCAGGCAAATCACATAAGCCTGTAAGCCAGTTTCGCCTACACAATGCAGATAGGCCTGGCCTTGTCTCCTCACACACCTCTGTTGTAAGGACAAAATTATGAAATTTATCTAAAATTCATAACTAAGAAAACTACACACCACCTAAGGGAGGGAAAATGCTTTCAAATGCATTGGTGGGCAAGGTTGGCTTACACCTAGAATCTAAATGGCACCCTGAGCAGACAAAAGCAGAAGCGATTGCGCCCTCCTACAGTCCTGCTGCAACTTTCCTCACAGAATCTGACACACTGAGTTAGACAATATCTAAGAAATCTCATCTACCTATTTTACAGAACAGCTGCATTAACATAAAACATTTAATTTCTTGTCTTCTAAGAAATAAGCTTCATTATATTTATGTGCTTATTTTTAGTACAGCTTTATGTCAATAAGGTACTGAAGTCGTCTCTTCAATAGAGGAAACAGAGCAGAGAACGTACCCTGGTCAAAGCGCAGACCCAGGCTATAGCCCTGCATCAAATCCTGACAGTTCATGGCAATGTAAGTCCCGGACTCAGACTGTCTGACTCTCAAACAGGACTTCTACTACTAGGTTACCCAGTTGTCCCTAAGTACCTATTCCCATAATAGAGCCGACTGGGAAAGAATAACACAGCTTGTCCATGAGGTGCCCAAGTGGCACAGAAAGTGGAAACCAGAGACCAAGAGTGAGTTGGTTCCAACAGTGACGCTGAGACTCAGAGTCTGATTGGCTCCTGTCGATGATAAAATCGGGATGGGACAAAGCAGTGATCTGGGTTAGCAGATCAGGGGACAAAGGAATGAGAGAGAGGACAGCAAACATGCACAAGTTGAATTTAAAAAGGGAAGTTGAATTTGTAAACTGTCATCCTTGCTTCCCACCCGCAAATGGTTCTACACAGCAGAAAATGATCATCCTTATCAGACAGAACTAGAGTCAGCCATTGCGGACACAAAAAGACCCTTTCCATGGCCAAGGAAGGGTGTGGTCAAAGTGACTCTAATATGAGCATGTAACTGAACCGGAGCAGGAAGGTCAGGTGTGGATTAAGCTGCGGCTCTTGGTGCCGGGCGAAGGCCTCCTGCACACTTCTATGCCCAAGGTCTGATTCTCCCTAGACCCCAACTGAGTACAAGAGCCAGAGCTGTGGCAGGGGACTGTGGAGTGTGTGGTAACAATGGCCTTGACCTTGTTCATTTACGGCTAAAGAATCTTGGTTAAATCCCTATCCTTAGCTACAACTTTAACTGTAAAAATTAATCTGCATTCACTGTTCATTCTGAAGAAAGTCAATAACCTCAGATCAGGGATGTGCCTGTTACAACTTTGCATCCAAAATCTTTTCCATTGGTAAGGATGTAAAAGATGAGCAGAGTATTTATACTATTAGTAAAACGACCTGCCCAAAATTTGTGTAAGAATTAGTCAAAAAGAACAAAACTGCTTAGACTGGCTGACAAGAGCCCGGACACAGCGGTGCTCAGCTGTAATGTCAGGTACTCGGGAGCCTGCGGGGGCAGAAACCACAAGCTTGAGACAGAGAAGCAAGACTTCACCTCCAAAACAAGGGATAAGGATGGAGCTCAGTGACAGAGTTCTTGCCTCATGTGCATGTAGCCCGGGGATCAATCCTCAGCAGTGAAAAGAAATCAGGACAGATCAGCTTTGGCTATTTACTCAGCCAATTTTTATAGTCTGGTTTCTCTTCAGATTGTATAAATCTTTCACCTTTTACTTAGCCACATTTTAAAGCTTTAATTTGCTGGCATTTTAATAGGTAATATATTCATATAGTTAATCGTCTACAATGTATGTAATATGAATAGTTGTAGTTTTTTATGTTCATTATGTTTAGCTGAATGTGTGAGAAACTGCTTTTAGCCATGTGTGGTGGCACAGGCCTGTAATCCAAACATTCAGGAGGCTGAGGCAGGAGGAGCACCATGAGCTTGAGGCAAGCCAGGGTTACACAGTGAGCTCAAGGCCAGGCTGAACATAGCAAGATCTTCTCTCACACATTCATGCATACACACATACACACAAGCCAAGTGTAACAACCACCCCCCCAAATATATTTAAATGAAAAAATATACTGAAAATCTTCCTCTAAGATTTGTCCTTTATCTGCTCAACTTCCCACCCTGCCCTCTAACTGGAAACAGTTTCTTTTGATCTTTTCCAGAGATTTTTTTTAATGAATAGAAACTAAAATACAAATATGTAGTCCTTTCCCTATCAAATGAATACGCAGTATGTAGTTTTTGCATCTTGCTCTTCCACTTATAATACTTCAAATTTTATTTTCTTCAACATTTACTTAGAAAGTAGACCAATCCATAAATCCATAGATCTTTTATCCTTTTGCAAATCTGAATAGAACATGCAGAAATACATAACCTTCAAAGATAGCTCCTCCATCCCCGCAGAACTGCAGCTGCTCCGTCAGCTGCCCACGGAGGTACCTACAAGCTAAAGTACTTCCATGGCAGCGAGCTCAAACAGCAGAGTACTGCCATGCTAATGAGGATCCCCTGCAACTGCTGACTGCAAAGAAGGCTAACATGTCACAGGCCACATTCATGGCCTTACGAAAATTATCTCTCAGAGGTCACCCTGAACCATTAAAGCAGTATTTATCATATTAAGGAGAGGAACTTTCACCAGAGCTACCAAACAAAATAATTTCAAAGTATCCCAAAGTCAGAAATAACAGATTTAGATTTTTTTTACTGAGCCATACAGATAGGCTGAGGCAGCATTTTAGTGTGACAAAATTACTATACAAATCGGAGGGGGAAGACAGACACATCCGTAAAGAGATGCCATTTCTGGTATACTTTAAATTTCAGAAATTACTTATGTTTCATATTTTATAGCACTTGATATTAACGTAAGCTTATAAAAGCTTTCTCCTTTGAATATACATTTTTTGAAGTCTGTTTTTGTTTTGTTTTGTTTTTCTGGCAGAACCGGGGATTGAACTCAGGTCCGTAAGCTTGCCAGGCAAGTGCTTATTCTACTGAGCCATCTCCCCAGTCCTTTCTGTATTTTATATGTGATTTATTTCTATTTTACTGTTTTGGATTTCACTTACCTAAAACCATGTATCTATGACTTTATAATAGAAGTCACTGGAATTTACTGAAATTCACTGTATCCAACTTTGCAAAAATATACTAATGAACTACACTACTACACTAGTCAGTTACATTTGACCTAAGTCTAATGACAACAAGTGAGGCCTGTTTTAATGTAAGGATATAAAGTTTGACTAGAAAAGAACCAATTATTTACCAGTAAGGAGATAATAGTACAATTTATTTTTATCTTCATTACTTATAGCCTTCACAGTTAGTGACTGACTAGAATTTTTTTCAAGATTTTTAAATAATTCTATTAAACATCTTCCTCTTCTCTGATGAGGCATTTTCCCTTCAACTTCCTAAACAGGGTTCTAGATGAGTCATACTGACACTCCTACTCCAATTTCTTTCTGCCAAGAACAGCAGCTTATCTGCTCGAGGCACTGCTGCCCTAACCTATCCACTCCCAAGGCCTACAGCAGGTAGGGAAGGCATGAGTCCCCATAAATATTTCCAGTGAGGGTCTGAAAGAAAAGTGGAGTCC